GAAAACATGTGTTTATTTTTTTAAAGTTTGATGCTCTCTAGCGGACAAACGAAGCACTTTTGTATAGAGGTAAATTGTGTCCAATGAACTTATTTAATTAAATACGTACTAGTCCACACGGAATATTGGGACACGCTGTATATACGTATTGAACGAATTTCTTGGTATAATGACATATAACAGTTTAATGAAAAGAAATGTTTTAAATCTTTAATCCAGATAATTGCTAAGAACATTACGATATCTATAACAGAAAAACGATGACCTCTTTAGAACTCCCCAAGTATCCTTATCACAGCTCCTCTTAAACTGGACCACTTCAATATATCTTTTTACCTACATCCATAACAGATTAGTTATAAATATTAATGTTGTTCCAGCGAGTCATTTATTTGAACGCCTTAGGTCTGACCAGCCACATCTAGCACTAGATAAACTGTCTAATGAATTGAACATGAACGTCAAATTACAATTCCAATCCGAACTAAAAGGTTTCCATTGTTACTCTTTCACGGTTTGCTCGATCGTTCGGCTCTCTCAGGACGAGCGATCGGAAAGATTTAAGACAAAAAGAAAAGAACGAGAAAATATTTAAGACTCCCTTTAAGGAACTTATAAGTTTTAATCTGGAAAAGCCTCTATAATTGGCATTATACACTTGGAGAATACTTAAGTATTGAATAGCTGTATAAAGGGAGAATTCTAGAATTAAAATTTTCCATCAAGGATGGCAAATAAGAATGTTTTATCCACCCTAACGACATTATATTTATGGAATTCGTATAGAGAAGAAATCGTTGGACCTTATATCGGTTATAGCTATATCTTTCGCGATTTGTATGGCATTAACCAATAGACATAGACAGATACGTCTGTATATGTCTATTGGTTACTGCATGTACCACAGTTACTGCAGGCACTTCCTCCGACAACTAATGTAACCCTTCTTCCGTAGCCAGCCTATTGAACATGTCTGGAATGTGATGTCATGAGGTGATGATATGAGGTAACATATCATCACCTCATGATGTGTGGTGATGTTAATATTGACTTTCTTAGTGTATGTGCTGCTCAGGAGTTTCTTCAGTCCATTGTTGATTCTTTTGGAATAGCCATGCATGTAGGCTCACCTACCAGAATATCCAATACCAGTTCTAGTACTATAGACTATGTTGTGTCATCTTTTGCTGCTAACTCCATCGCCTGCAACGTCTTTAGCTCGGGTCTCTCTGATCATGAAGCAGTTTTAACTGAATTTTCGATAAAGTGCAAAATCAAAAATGCCCCTCGTAAATTATGCCGTATTTTTTCAGAAAAGAATGCTCAAAAGTTCAGCCACTTATGTAAAACAACAAACTGGGATACTAGCTCTTACCCATACAGCACGTCCAAATGAAATTACGTTTCTACAAGGGAGACACATGAGAAACCAAATATGTTAAAGTGAACCTAAGTGTTTATCTAGTTCTAACATATACATATGAGATACACGCAGGTTTATATTGATAGAATTGTGTGATACAGTGTTTACTAGTTGTATACCGTATGCACTCAAGATTCTAAAGAGTTTTTTGTAACGTAACAAATAATTATTATATATATTATATAATATATTATATTATTATATATTATATAACATTAACCAGTCGAGCGTTCAAATCCTTTCCTCTTAGGCCTATCAAAAATAAGCATAATAAACCTTGGACCACTAAAGGTCTACGCATATCTTCTAAAAACATGCGTTCATTATCTCACTTAAAAAAAATTCTCAGAGAGTGTCTTCTTCCACTTCTTCTAAAAATTTATCATAAGACTATAAGAGCCGCTAAGGACCTTTATTATAATAGGAGAATAGTCAATTCTGGTAATGTTGCTAAAGAAACATGGTCTGTTGTGAATGAATTGAGAAACAAAGCTTCTTCGTCTAGCAATATCTCTACCTCACCTGAGAACCTTAACCATTACTTTGTAAATGTAGCGAAAAACTTAACTAATACCATATGTCCTTCTCATGATTCACTTTCATATCTCTCTAATGATAATGTAAACTTGCACAGTTTCTTTTTTTCGCCCGTAGTTTTAGAAGAGCTTCGCAGTACAATCAATACCATCAAAAATAAATACTCTTCTGGGACCGACGGCGACGGGCTAACTTAATGTTTATTATATTCAACTAAAATGTTTTCGAATCTGCCAGAAAGCACTCTGAATCACCTAACAACTTTAATAAACATGTCGCGTCGTTCCCAAATGGTATTTTTTCTTAATGCTTAAGCCTTAAGACGGCGATAATCATTCCTCTGCATAAAGTAGGAGACAAAGATGAAGCTTCTAACTATCGCCCAATTGCACTCCTTCCAACGCTATCTAAGATCATAGAAAGGTTGGTTAAAAGAAGGCTGGTATCTTTTCTGTTTAAGTACAAAATACTTACTGAATATCAATTTGGATTTCTAAGCAACAAGTCCACAAATGACGCTATGTTTTCCCTCCTTAATAAAGTTTACTCCAGCCTTTAAACAACCATCATTCTACAACAACGATTTTCTTTGATTTTTCTAAGGCGTTCGATTTTGTAAATCATAATATCCTAATTAATAAACTGCAGCACTATGGGTTCAGGGGATCATCTCTCGAATGGTTTAAGTCGTATCTGAGCAACAGAAGTCAACTTGTGAGAGTGGATACCACGTTGTCTTCTAGCAAGCCAATAGAATGTGGAGTACCGCAAGGCTCAGTACTAGGCCCTATTTTGTTTCTTCTTTTTATTAACGACATTGCTAACATAAACATCAGTAGCAAAATATGTCTTTTTGCGGACGACACTAGCTTCACTTGGAGCAACAAGGACATCACGGCACTTCATAGGATTATATCAAATGATTTAATCACCATTAAATCTTGGTGCGATTCGAACCTCCTGAGTCTCAACATTTCTAAAACTAAAGCTTTGTCGTATATAAACTCGTTGCAGCCTTTTGTACTTAACAACACCACCATTGACGTCGTAAAATCTGTAAAATTCTTAGGGCTTGTTGTGGACAATTCTCTGAAATGGGACATACATATCGAAGCTCTGTCGAATAAATTGAGCTCTGCCTGTTTTGCATTAAGGTCTGTTTCTAAGGAGCTTAACTTGTCAATGGCTAGAACTGTTTATTATGCACTTTTAGAGTCGCACCTCAGGTATGCCCTTCCATTCTGGAGTACGTGTTGTGCGACTCAATTTGGCCGCATTTTCAAGCTCCAGAAGAGAGCTGTTCGATATTCACTGGGACTAAACAGCAGAACTCATTGCCGGGACTTTTTTAAAGAATTAAAAATATTGACTCTTCCTTCCTTATTTATATTTGAATCCGTTTGCCTAATACGTAAACATGTATCAGCTTCTCAAGAAAGGCCATCTCACACTTATCCACTCAGGAACGCGGAGCAAGATCTTTATCTACCTACCCCACGCTCAGAGTTAGTTAAAAGTTCAATATTATACAACTCGAAAAAAATGCACAATCACCTGCCATTTGAAGTCAAATCCATAACATCATTTTTTCATTTCGCAAAGCATTGAACTCTTATTTACTAGACAAGGCTTTCTACGCCGTAAATGAATTATATTTTGAAAATCGAATTTGATCTTGTAAACACTGATCTAATGTTTGCTATTGCTATATTTACTAATGACATCGAAATAAATTTATTTAGAAGTTATTATTGATATTTACTATAAACTAACTAAATATTTTTGAATATTATTTTTATTTTTTTCTTCTTTGACATTGTAAACATTTATAAATGTTTATTTTAAACAATAAGACTGACAATATTATTTGTATAATGTTTTGTATTATCTTTTGTTTGTTTGTTTGTGTACCTTGTTTTTTTACTTTGTTTGTTTAGTTTACCTTTGTCTACAAATTGAAAAAGTTTTTGACAATAAAGGCATTTATTTATTTATTTATTTATTCGTATTATGAGTGACATATGTTCCCTCGTGACACGACGAGGGAACTACGAGGTAACATTGTCCCAGGCTAATATTAGTATTAATCTGAATGGCAGCATACCACGAAGAGTTACAGAATGTTAAAACTAACGTGGAGGTGCAACTCACTATTGAATTGTTAAGGATTCCTTTCAATAAATTTGTTTAAGAATATCATCAATTATTATTCGTATTTATCCCAACTAGACTCATATGCAAAAAAACGCAACGAAGAAAATTCTAGTCAAATTTAAACTGTTATATTTTTGTTACTTTAGCCCTAGTTTCATGAATTTTTTAGCAAGCTGTATATAATTATATATCAACTTTAATTTGTAAACTCAGTTTATTATAAACTTTAGTATTTGGCATATTATACAGGGTTAAACGAGGGGTTGTTTTTTTACCCTAACTTTGACACACCCTGTGCAATAATTTCGTGTGTAAATTTTCCTGATATATAATTTTAGGGTCAGAACCATGTCTCCTGAGCATTTTGGTTTTTGTATAATGTCAATACATGCGTTGGTTAGTTTTTAAGAGCGAAATAAACTTGCCACCAACAATTTGCAATTTTTTCAATTATAATAATTTATTTTTTTTTTCATAAGTTTTTTTCAATATGACAAGGCAGCTTCGGTGATTATTGTGAACTATATACCACTATGAACTGCCCATCATGTTCGACGTTTGGGAAATGCTTAACAGGAGGGTTAGAGGTCGCGAAGAGTTACCAGCTTCATTAAATGAATTTCGCTTGGTCCTTAAAGAAGATTGGGAAAACATAACGCAATATGATATATGCAGCCTCAATGACAGTATAAACAAACGTATACAGGCAGTTATAGCAGCCAGGGTAGGCAGTATTAGAAATATTATGTAAAAATAAAACAAGAGTATTATAAAATATTAAAAAGTTTAATTTATGAAAGAAGATCTTTTTGGGGTCACAAAACTAAACAGCATCATAAACATAGCGCTAAATACAAAATTATAGAAAGGAAAATAAATTTATTACCTTTTAAAGCCGGACATATCCTTTTCCAAATAGTTAAACATCCGCTGCGATGGAACTGCCCCAGAGCCAGCTCCATATAGAAGAGCGGCAACCCGCCGAACACCAGCATTATCGTGTAGGGGATGAGGAAGGCCCCTGCAAAATAAAATCCCGTTTACGATCCGTCTTGGCTGCCGGAAAATTTAACGAAAATATAGATACAAATTGAGTTTTTCAGAAAATTTAGCGGTTCAACGTATGCAAAGAGGCGAGGAGAAACATAATCCTCAAAACGCCACTTATCTACTCTTTTGCAGACTCAAAATCCAGCCTTTTTTCCTGTCCTTTAAAGTGGATTTTCAGGGAAAATGTATATAAGTAGTCGGACTTTTGGTGGATGATATTGGAGCTAAAATTAGAATTCTGTAATAACCTATTTAAAATAAACGGTAATTTTTCTATTAAAGTAAAGGATTTTCTATTAAGGTTTGTTAATATAAGGTTGAGTCTTAAGTGCAAATATTTCTAGGGGTGGTACACAGGGTGTTTCAAAAAACATGTGCCATCTCTCGTGGGGAGATTCCTCACGTAAAAATAAGATTTATTTTTCATATCAACGTAAGTCCGATTCTGCTTTGTTTCGTAGCTACAGGGTATTAAAGTTTTAATATTTTTTCGATTTATTATCATTTTCTTCCAAGTACTTTTAGCGTTTCGAATAAAATTTTGAGGGTAAAAATTACTATAAATGCGACATAAAGTTATAAAAGTATTGACATATTCACCAGGGACTTGCATATGGGTTATCACTAGAATATTTTTCTAAATAAAGCATATACGCCACTGACTTTTTTTCTGTTGTTAGTAAAATAGTGTAAGCAGTTTAGTGCCGATTAAAAGTTGCCTCATGATATTTCGTCGATTTCGGCCTCCTTGATGAGATAAGCGCAAATTTATTAATTTGCCTTGATCCGAGTCTAATAGCAACCTTTAAAAAATTTTAATATCATTACCTTGCGAAAAAATTAAATAAGTACTCATTGATTCTTCATTAAAAAATATGAAAAAAACTTCCTATAAACGTGGGTATGGAAATGCATAATTTTAGAGTTACACGATGTTAAGACTTTTAAAATTAGGTTTTTTGTAATTAGCTTAAATACCATTATTTTTTTATTTGAAATTGCTGTAGGTTGGACTAATAGTAATAATATTTAATAATATAATTATTTATTATATTATTGTAAAAAAATTATTTTTTTTTTAATTATAATATAATAAATAATTATAATAAATAATATAATTATTTATTATAATTATTTATTATATTATAGGTTGGACTAATAGTTATAATATTTAATAATATACCAAACAAGACTTGACCAGAAACTCATAGAATTTAGATACGATGATAACATGGAAGACACATACCAGCACATCAAAGAAAGTATGCTACAGGCAGGGATGGAAGCCCTCGGAGAAGTAGAAGGAAAACAACGACCTTTCGAATACAATCTTAGTGAAACGACGATTAACGAAATTAAATGTAAAAAACAACTGTACAATAAATGGCTGAGTACCAGGAATGAAGATGACTACAAAAAATATAGAGAAAAAAACAGAGACGTTAAAGGGATGGTAAACAGAGAGAAAAACGAAAATTGGGAAAAAACCTGCCAGAACTTGGACCAATATATCGGTGGAGCTAGAAGATCAGAAGCATGGAGAGTGATTAAGGAATTGAGATCCGATAGGAAAGAAAGATCATACATATCATACATTGAACCTGAGAAGTGGAAAGATCACTACAAAGATTTACTCACGGAAACAAGACAAAAGTTTATAGAGGAAAGACAAGAAGAAGAGGGACAACCTAGAGCACAACATATACCTATAACAATAGAAGATATACGAAAGGCAATTAAAACAATAAAAAACAAAAAAGCAGGAGGACCAGGGGACATCGCACCAGAGCTCATAAAATGCGGCACAGAAAAATTATTCAGAATCATACATGGAATGTTTGGGAAAGCAATAAATGGACATAACATACCAGACGAATGGAAGGAAGCACAGCTAACATCGATTTTCAAAAAAGGAGATAGAAGACAGTGCGATAACTATCGAGGGATCAGTGTCATAGCAACCATGGGGAGGCTATATGGTAGAGTACTGAGAGACAAATTAGAACAGAACATACAAGGAAAAATCGGAGAAGAACAAGCAGGTTTTACAGCAGGGAGATCATGCATAGATCATATTTACACGATCCAACAATTATTGGAGAAAAAAAAAGCAAAGAACAAACCAGTACACTTAGCATTCATCGATTTAAAGAAGGCCTATGACACTGTACCCAGGAAAGAACTATGGAAAGCGATGGAAAGACTGGACATACCGATAACACTCACAAATGCAATGAAGACTTTATATAGGAACAACAAAATACACATAAAAGTAGGGAACAAGATAGTAAACAGCTTAACAACATCGAAGGGGCTGCTCCAGGGATGTCCAACATCGCCAACATTATTTAAAATATTTCTGGAACATGCACTGACAACCTGGAAACGCAAATGTGAAGGTATGGGAATCCCTCTAAGAAATGAACATCTTTACACGCTCTGCTTTGCAGATGACCAGGTGGTGATGGCCCAGGATGAGGAAGATCTAAGTTATATGCTCAGGAAGCTAAATGAAGAGTATGAAAAAGTAGGACTAGAAATAAACCTGAAGAAAACCATGTACATGACAACAGAGGAAGATACAGCTGATTTACAAATAGAAGACCACCTGGAAATAAAGGGAACCAATAACTTTAAATACCTGGGATTTACACTATCGAAAAACGCAACTACGGAAGAAGATATAAATGTCAGACTTGGACAGACAAGATCCTGTATACAACAACTGCACTCCGTTATCTGGGATAGAAATATCAGGAAAAAGACTAAAACATTGATATATGAAACAATTATTCAGAGTATCATGACATATGCAGCAGAAGTATGGGTCATAAACAAAAACAACCAAAGAAAAATTCTGGCCACCGAAATGATGTATTGGAGAAGATGCTGTGGACTAACCAGAAGAGACCGAGTCACGAATGAGGAAATAAGAAGAAGAATGGGGAGAAAGACCGACGTCTTAAAGTACATAGAAACGAAAAGATTGGTATGGTACGGTCATGTTAGAAGGGCGGAAAATAGATGGATTAACAGAGTGACAGAGTGGAGCCCGATTGGAAGAAGAAAGCGAGGGCGGCCAAGAAGATCATGGCGAGATGAAGTGGACGAGTCTATGCATCGGAGAGGACTACGAGAGGGAACATGGGATGATCGAGACGAATGGAGGACCCGGTTGATGGAAGGAAGGCAGCCAGAGCTAGAATTTTTTAAATATAGGTATATATATATATATATATATATATATATATATATGAAATATATATATATATATATATATATATATATATATATATATATAAATTGGGCATTTTAGAGTAACTTTAACCCTCAAAATTTCATTCGAATCACTAAAAGTAATTGAAAAAAAAAGATAATTAGATTAAAAATTATAATAAATCTAAAGATTATTCAGCCCCGGATCTAAGGGGCGGGCAAACCGGGGCACCTGCCCCGGGCGCCAATATCAAGGGGCGCCAAAATCATAATATAACACGGTTGAAAATTTAAAAAAATGCTCCACAAAGCGCCTAGTATGCACTTTACGTTCTTCTATCAAGTATTCATTTTATTCTCTGAATAAGAAGACTAAGGAAGGAGCATAATGCTATCCATGTATTCATGCATGGTGGGCGGAAAAAGGACTCTAGGGTGGGGATCTTTGACAGTTCTGTTTGACGATTCATTTGACACATTTGAATTTGATTTGAAATTTTGTGGATTTGTCAGTCTTTACGGAGCTTATTTTATGTTATTTATTATTTATTCTACTACTGATAGTTGTATAAAGGTAGTAAATCTAGATGGAAATTGTGGCAGAACTTAAATTAACAGTGACACTATCGCGATTTATCGAAAAAGACTCTAAAATAGTTGGTTGTGTAGCGTGCGGTAGATCTCGGCAAAAATCGAGTGAAATTATGGAACAACTTTTCGCTAGTAAGTGACTATATAATATACATACGTGTAGTAAACCGATCATTTATGAAATTCACTTAAATTAACTAATTATATTTTTTTTCTTGCACTTTTGCTTTTATTTACTACTTGTCAAAGATTAGATGTCAAAGAATTTAGATACGTCAATTTGACTTACCTGCTTCAGTAGCGTATCGGATGTTTATGGTTATAAATAATTATTATAACTTATCTATTTTTATTAGAATTTTATATTTTTATAACAATTTTAATAACTACCAACATTTATTCACAACGTAAAATAAAAAAAAATATTGAGTCTACTCCACGTCTACCCCACATCATAGTTTTACATTTTTTAAATAAAATTAGAACGGCACTGATAAACCGGAAATTAAGTCTGCCATATTTGAGGCCCATCGCGGTGGACCTAAGATTTTTGATATGCTCCTTCCTTAGTCTTCTTATTCAAAGATTTTATTTTAAAACACCCAGTTAGTTTTTAAACACATTCTAAAGTTTCATTCAGAACCTCGCAATTAGTGGAATAAATTGGCGGTTTCAATAAGTACACTTTTTACTTTTTAGTTTACGATCATTCACAATGTTTAAAAAACACAATTAAAATTAATAGAATATCCTAGCAACAGCTTGCGGTAGTCAGTTGTATCCATAAAGAAAGCCAAATATTTAGCTTATAAAACAATAAACTTTTGATTTCTAACTACGATTTCTCTTGACGGATGCTAATCAATGGGCAAAATGACATTTCCCGCAAAATTTGAAGTATAATTAGTGGAAAACTTAAAAGTTTCTTTACTTATTGAAAATGGTTATCACTAATTTAGACGTTCTGAATGCCTACATTGAAATTAAAAGAACAAACTTCTACGCTAATTGAAACCACTAATTTATTCCACTAATTCGGAGGTTCTGAATGAAGCTTAAGGGCTAATTCTGACCCGTTTACGAAAAATGCCTACCTATATCTAGATATTTGTAAGTTTTTTAAACTAATTTATTGCAAACGCTGGAGAGAGGGGGCGCTGCAAT